GTGCGGTGCGGTGCGGTGCGGTGCGGTGCGTGTTTCAAAGGGTCTGATCGGCTTGCTCACTCGCTGTCATCTTGGCATTACTATCCGCACCTCTATCCATCAATCGTCCAGGTCCACTGCGGGTTCTAATCGCCTTTTGGGTATCGCGAGGATGGCGTCGTATACGAGTATCGCGCTCGACATGCTTCGGCACTCTCCGCCGTCGCGCAGTTGCAAGCACTGGGATCCATCCTCGATGCCACTTTTGCAAGGTCGAATCGTCATCCTCACGGGTCCATCGTCGGGGATCGGGTACGAGACACTGCGACAGCTGGTACTGTCCTCGGCGCACGTATACATGTTTGGGCGGAATCTGGACAAGCTGCGTGCGACGGCCGAGACGATCGCGGCCGAGTGCAGGCAGGAGCTGGCGAGGCTACCTGTGGGGCATGCTCGGTACGGCGCCGAGGTGGGCAGGATGACAGCTGTGCAGTGCGATCTGGGCAGCTTGGATAGCGTCCGGCGTGCGGTGGAGGAGTTTCTAAGCAACGAGGAGAGCGTGGATGTGGTGCTGTGCAATGCGGGCGTGATGGAAAGCGGAAAGACGGTGGACGGGTACGAGATCATGTGGGGCACCAACGTGCTTGGCCACCATGCCCTGCTTCGACTCCTCCTCCCAGCTCTGCGTGCATCAGCAAAGCTGAGGAATAGCGTCGTCACGGGCGAAACGCGCGTGATTCTTACGTCGTCCGATACGCATCGATGGGTGAACAAGCCCTCGCACCTCACGCCTGCCGGCCTGGACGATCCCGACCAGGCAGGGCTGGGATTCATCCATCTCTACGGCCGCTCCAAGCTCGGCAACATTCTCACGGCCAAAACCCTCGCCGCCGCCTCGGACCGCAATCACTGGGGCATCACCGTAGCCTCTGTCCACCCGGGCGGCGTCAAGTCGCAACTGGGCTCGACCAACTCGCTCCTGACGCGCGTCAAGAACTGGTTCCTCGTCCCCGCCACCCTCGGCGCAGTCACCCAGCTCTGGGCCGCATCCGCCGCCAACAAGGACTCCATCCACGGCAGGTACCTCGTCCCCTGGGCCGCCGTGGGCGAGGAAAGCGAGCTCGCCAAGGACCAAAGCGTAGCACAAACCGCATGGGACTGGTGCGAACTCCAGTGCACAAACAAAGGTCTCAACCTCCACCATTGGCCCTAAGTATACCCCCCCCCCCCCCCCCCCCC